ATCTTCTATAGCTCGAAAGAGACTGATTTAAGACACACCCTGCATAATCCTGCCTCATTAACATGACAAAGACAACCCATTCCCAAATGGGATTACAGTCACAGGCATTGTTGTTGTTAGGTGCTGTAGAATCTGTTCTTACTCGTAGCAACCCTGTGTACAACAGAAGGAAACTCTGCCGAGTCCTGCGCCATCCTCACAATCTTTGCTATGTTTGAGCCCATTGTTGTAGCCGCTGTGTCAATCCATTTCATTGAGGACCTTCCTCTTTTTCGCTGACCCTCTACTTTACCAAGCTTGATGTCACTCAAGGGACTGATCTCTCCTGATATGTCCACAGTATGTAAGACAAAGTCTCGCCATCCTCCTTTCTAACGAGCCTTCTGGCTTTACTTCTTCCAAGACAGATCTGTTCGTTTTTTTGGCAGTCCATGGTATTTTCAGTAGTCTTCGCCAGCACCAGAATTCAAAGGCATCAATTCTTTTTCGGTCTTCTTATTCATTGCCCAGCTTTCACATGCTTATGAGGTCACTGAAAACACCATGGCTTGGGTCAGGCGCACCTTAGTCCTCAAAGTGACATCTTTGTTTGTTAACACTTTAAAAAAGTCTTTTGTTTCTTGACTTCTGCTTCCATGGGCATTGATTATGTATCCAAGTAAAACGAAATCCTTGACAACTTCAGTCTTTTCTCCATTTATCATGATGGTGCTCATTGGTCCAGTTGTGAGGATTTTTTGTTTTCTTTATGTTGAGATGTAATCCATACTGAAGGCTGTAGTCTTTGATCTTCATTAGTAAGTGCTTCAAGTCCTCTTCACTTTCAGCAAGCAAGGTTGTGTCATCTGTATACCACAAGTTGTTAATGAGTCGTCCTCCAATCCTGATGCTACGTTCTTCTTCATATGGTCCAGCTTCTTGGATTATTTGCTTAGCATACAGATTGAATAAGTATGGTGAAAGGGTACAACCCTTACACACACCTTCCCTGATTTTAAACCACACAGTATCCCATTGTTCTGTTCCAATGACTGCCTCTTGGTCTATGTGCAGGTTCCTTGTGAGCACAATTAAGTGTTATGGGATTCCCGTCCTTCACAGTGTTATCCATAATTTGTTATGAGCCACACAGTCAAATGCCTTTGCATAGTCAGTATAACACAGATAAACATCTTTCTGGTATTCCCTACTTTCAGCCAAGATCCATCTGACATCAGCAGTGATATCCCTCGTTCCACATCCTTTTCTGAGTCTGGCTGGAATATCTGGCAGTTTCCTGTCGATGTACTGTTGTAACCATTTTTTAATTAACTCTTTACTTACATGTGATATTAATGATATTGTTTGATCCGCATTCTGTTGGCTCACCTTTCTTTGAAATGGGCACAGATACGGATCTCTTTGGTCTGTTGGCTGGGTAGCTGTCTTCCAAATTTCTTGGCATAGATGAGTGAGCTCTTCCAGCATTGCATCCATTTGTTGAAACATCTCAATTGGTATTCCCGTCAGTTCCTGGAGCCTTGTTTTTTGCCACTGCCTTCAGTGCAGCTTGGACTTCTTCCTTCAGTACTGTCAGTTCTTGATCATATGCTACCTCCTGAAATGGTTAAATGTTGACCAGATCTTTTTGGTACAGTGGCTCTGTGTATTCCTTCCATCTTCTTCTGATGCTTTCTGCATCATTCAATATTTTGCCCATAGAATACTTCAATACTGCAACTCGAGGCTTCAATTTTTGCTTGAGTTCTTTCATGCATAGTTAGGAATTATGTCAAGGATTGAATTGTGTCCCCCAAAAATATCAATTTGGCTAGGCCATGATTCCCAGTATTGTTTGATTGTCCACCATTTTGTTATCTGATGTGGTTTTCCTATGTATTGTCTATCCTGTCTCTATGATGTTAATGAGATGGGCTTAGTGGCAGTTATGGTAATGAGGCAAGACTCAGTCTACAATATTAGATTGTGTCTTAAGCCAGTCTCTTGTGAGATATAAAAGAGAAGTGAGCAGAGAGACATGGGGACCTCATACAACCAAGAAAGCAGCGCCGGGAGCAGAGTGTGTGCTTTGGACCTGAGGTTCCTGTGCTGAGAAGCTCCTAGACCAGAGGAAGATTGGCAACAAGGACCTTCCTCCAGAGCTGACAGAGAGAGAAAGACTTCCCCTGAAGTTGGTGCCCTGAATTCAGGCCTCTAGCCTCCTAAACTATGAGAGCATAAACTTCTGTTTGATAAAGCCATTCACTTGTGGTATTTCTGTTATAGCAGCACTAGATAACTAAGATAAATTGCAGCACATATTTTTGGGGTACACAGTTCAATCCATAACACCTTACTTTCTTACATAAAAGGTCTCATAGTGTTCTGTATTGTTCTGTATCTTACTTCTTTGCTTAACAGTGTATGTATCTTGTAGATCAGTACACATAGAAAGCAGAGATGCCCTGCTCAGGAAGGTAGCCATGAGCCCCATGAGCTACTGAGCGTTTGAAGTATGGCTGGTACCACTAAAACATGAATTTTTAATTTTGTTTAATTTAAATTTTAAGATGGAAGCAGTGTAAGATATTTTCCCATGAAACTCAACTTTGTTCTTTTGATAGGACTACATTTCCCTTTAACCATTGAAAATTTAACATCTGAATTGAGATGTGCTGCAAGTGTAAAGGACACACTGGATTTCAAAAATTTAATTAAAGAAAAAATAATGTAAAATATCTCATTAATGATTTTTTACATTGTTCACATGTTGAAATAATGTTTTGATGTGCTAGGTCAAATAAATACTAATATTAATTTCACCTATTTCTTTTTGTTTTTTTAAATGTGGCTACTAGAGAACTTAAAATTCCATAAGTGGCTTGCATTATATTTCTATTGGAAAACACTAATAGAGAGCAGGCATTATTTTTGCAGCTGCATGGCATTCCACTGTACACTAGTTTTACCAGTTGCCATTTATTTGATTCCAAATCATGGTGACTCCATATGTGTCAGAGTAGAACTGTGCTCCATAGGGTTTTCAGTGGCTGACTTTTAGGAAGTACATCACCAGGCCTTTCTTCCTAGGTGTCTCTGGGTAGACTTAAACCTCCAACCTTTCAGTTAGCAGTTAAGTGCATTAACCATTTGTATCATCAAGGAAAGTTCCATTGTATAAACCAAACGAATTGCTGTCAAATCATTCTGACTTACAGCAACCCTATAGGACAGAGTAGAGCTGCCCCATAGGCTTTCCAAGGCTGTAAATCTTTACAGAAGTAGACTGCCACATCTTTCTCCTGTGGAGTGGCTGGTGAGTTCAACCCTCCGACCTTTCGTTAACAGCCAAGTGCTTAACCCCTGCACTAGCAGGGCTCCTCTTGCATTGTATAGAGTTCCATAATTTATTTAACCGGTCCACAGTTGATGCACACTTGAGTTGTTTCCAATCTTATACTTTAAAAAAAATGCAAACGATGCTTAACCTTGTACATGTATCACTTCATATGTGTGCAGATGGATCTGTAGAATTACTGGTTCAGAGGGTAAATGCATTTGTGATTTTGTTATTGCCAAATTGCCCCCAGAGGGGTTGTACCAGTGTGCACTCCCACCAGCCATGTATGTGAGCACCAGTGTCCCCATATACTGCCGTTTTAAACTACAGTTATCTGCAGGTTTTGGATATAATAATGAATGAGTTTCTGTTTGCTCATTCTGAGAGACTTTTAAGAAGATATCACAAATGGTTTCTCTAGCTTCTTTTTCTGTTTAAAAAATGTAAAGAAAACCTACTGTTGATGGTAAAACTTGTAGAATCAGCAATTTAGAATTGATCTTTTTCTTTTTTTAAATGAAGATGTCAAGAAACTCAACCACAGTGTTTTCCACCCATTTCCTCTATGGAAATAGCAACATGAATCATATTAAGATTTAGGAGGAGGGATTTTGTGAGGGTTTGAATGGATGAGGGTCAACATTTTCTTTGTTTTTTAAGAGTTACGGATTTCTTGAGTTACTCCTGATAGTCTCCACTGGCGGTGGAGGACTAGCATTACATACCATTACAAAGCATACAGAGTAGAAAGGCAGTTTGGAGGCAGTTTTTACATACTGTCATTTTATCAGTTCCCTGGATTAACCAGTGGCTAAGAGCTTGGCTGCTAACCAAAAGGTCGGCAGTTTGAATCTGCTAGCCGTTCCTTGGAAACCCTGTGGGGCATTTCTACTCCATACTATAGGTAGCTATAAGTCGGAATCTACTGGAGGCCGTCGGGTTTGGTTTTTATATGCTAAACACATTCTAGTTTAATGGGCTGCTGAACTGAGGAAATCCACTGATAACATAGTTGGAGCTTAATCATTTAGGTAGTCCATTCTGTATCCTTTAGTAATAAACTGTAGAAAAAGCTCATCTAGCCACCTTGAGGAACCACCTGTTGTCCCTCTTTTGAGACTTGTGTGCCCTCTGCTGCCCTCTTTGCCTTTTTGGTTTGTTTGTTTGCTTTTTTCAGATTGAAATGAAAACCAAATATTCAGAATCCAAAAACAAGTTGCTTTAATTTTTCTATTCGTGGGGAGCTGAAAATAAGATTCTCGGAAAGAGAAATCTCATATATAATTAGCAGTGTGTCAGATACATTAATAAATTAGTGTAATGGCTATAAGGGATATAAAGTCATATTCAGCAAATCCTAGAGTTTGAGAAATGCATTTTTATAGAAAATATAACTATAGACATTGACTATCTTTAATATTTTATTGATTTTCAGTATGAAAAGTTTAAGAAAAGCAAAAACAAGTTGAGACTAATAATGCTGATCATGTAGGAAGAACACTAGGGGATGGGGATTTATTCTAAGGGTCACGCTTAGCAATTGGAGATGCTGAGTCATTTCTGCTGTGCTTAAGTTATACAGTAAATACACAAGTTTCTAATAGGAAGTGGCTGCACATAAGCTATTCTTCACATCCCTTTTTGCTTCTATTGCTTATTTTGCCTAATTATTTTGTTTCAGGAAGGGTTCTCACTCATTGATAGCAAGAACTGGTTGAAGATTGTAAGACGCGTGGATTGTCTGTTGTTTGGAACAACAATAAAGGCAAGATGCTGTGTGTCAACTCTTTTAACCTTATGGTCATACCCTTCTCATCTGCTATGTGTGCATGGTAGGGGCTAGGGTGGAGTGGGCGGGAGCTTCTCTTTGTAGGTGAAACGGTTCAGGGAAGAAGACGCATGTTTAAGATAAGTTTACATTGGTTATGAGCAAAACAAGTTTTACAACAGGAAACGGGGATTGTAGAGAGGCAGAAACCTTGTTACCAAGAGGACACTGCTAAAGAGCCAGGGGCTTTGGTTGATTTCTCAGTACCTGTCTGATGCTCTGTCCCCCAAGCACAAATTGGGACGAGGTAGAGTACTTCATGGTTTGTCTTGCTCTTTGGATGTTAAAAAAGGTGTGTGTTTTGGAATGTTTCACTGAATATGTCTTTCCTTTTTTTCCCCTCGTTAATATTAAAAAATAAAATTCCCTTTTATTTGCTTTCTACCTATATTAAATGTGAAGAATGATCCTCATCAGAGAAACATGCAGGCTAATCACCTGGGTTATTTTCTTTCAGAAATAATGATAAAAACCAATCTGTTAGCATTCACTGAGTAGATCATATTGAAGCTTAGGCGAAAGATGATAATTTTTAATGGACTCAGAAAAAGTCCACGAACCCCCCCAAGAGTCTCCAAGGCATTCAAGGGGTCTGTGAACTTGCATGGATTTTCACTGACCTCTAACTGAAATTTATCATTTCAAACTTTGCCACAATTTAGTGTCTGTTTTCATTTTACATATGAGGAAGCTGAGTTTGAATTAGGCCAGTGGCCAAGGTTATAGCTAGCAGAGAGCTGGGTTGCACATTAGTCTTCTTACTCCCAGTCCTGGATTCTATGTGCTGAATGAATGTACAGCTCTTTCAGAAAAGTTACACTCTGCTATCTGTTTGATATTTGAGGGTTTTTTCCTGATTTTTAATTTGTTATTACAATTTTTAATAAAGAGCAAAATAAAAATCCACCCTAATTTGACCATTCAAAAATAACCATTATTAACATTTTGAAGTTTTTACTAGACTATTCAGTAAGGCTGGTGTTTGGATGCATGTAACAGAAAACCCAGATATAGTGGCCTAACAAAATAGGGGGTTTGCATTTTCGCTTACTAAGAAATCCAGAGGCGCGTAGTTGCTGGCACTGGTTCAGCAGCTCAACAGTGTTAAGGCCAACATCTCGCTAACTCTCTTGGCCTCTTCCTCATAGTTGCAAAATGGCTGCTGCAGCAATATTGTATTTCCATTCAAGGAAGATCAGCTTCATTTGTCCCTTTTATAAGGAAAACAGAAATTTTCCTATAAGGCCCTCCACCTCCCACAATCTCCAGAAGAGGCCTGTCTCATGGACCAGAACAATGTCATGTGTACCTCACTCTCCAAACTGGAAAGGAGATTAGGAGAATGTTTGGCTTTTCCAGCTCTGGTGGCACAGTGGTTAAAGCGCTCAACTACGAACTGAAAGGTCGGCAATTTGAACTCAGCAGCCACTCCAAGGGAGAAATATGTGGCAGTCTGCATCTGTAAATATTTATAGCCTTGGAAACCCTATGGGGCAGTTCTACTCTGTCCTATCTATGAGGTCACTGTGAGTTGGAATCGACTTGATGGCAATGGGTGTTCTTTTTTTTTGATAGAAAAAAAGACTGAGATTAGTTTATGAGTCTGAATCGATAGCAGCTGGGTTTTTTTTGGCAGTATAGCTAATTTATAAAATTGAGATCTCACTCTCCAGAGTATTCTGTATCCTGCTCTTTTGCCATGTAACATTATATCAGGTCATTATGTAGTCTTTGAAAATATGATTCTTAATGGCTACATGGCATTTTATTGTTTGGATGCAACATAATTCAGTTAACGAATCCCCAATTTTTCACTATTACAAAGATGTTTTGATTTTCACAGAGAGTTATTTACAGGGTTGCTTGTCTTTTCCTAAGTCCTGGAAGTATGAACATTTATGTTGTAAACTTGTCTGCCAGATTGATTATACTGTTTCCACTCCACTGGCAACATGTAAGAATGCTCATTTATTCAAATCCTCCCCACAATTTCATAGGCAAAAGTTAACATCTTCCTTTGATTTGCATTTCTTTGATAACTAGTAAGAATAAACGTTTTTTGTGTGTTTATTAGCTGTCTGTATTTCTTCTATGAACCACCTGCCCAAGACTTTTTCCTAATTTTTCTCTTTTTCAAAGTATTTAGAATACTATATAGAGATTATGTTGTGTAGAAATATATATTTATATAATTTGTGTAGTTATATAATACTTTAAGTATTTTATTTGTGTAAATATATAGATTTTTAAAAATATTTAAGGCTAGGAATTTTTTGCCTGTTGTTAGTGTGGATTGTATTCTTTATTGTCAAGTTATTTCTAGCTGCTTATTGGATTTTTTTCTGAATTCATTTGTTTAGCCTCTTTTGTTTTTAGCTGCCATTGAGTCAGTGTGACTCTCAGGGACTCCATGCACAGTGGAACAAAATGCTGCCCACTCCTGTGCCATCCCCATGATTGGTTGCAGATCAGACTGTTGTGATCCATAGGGTTTTCACTGGCTAATTTTCAGAAGCAGATTGCAGGTCTTTCTTCCTAGACTGGAAGCTTCGATGAGACCTGTTCACCATCACAGCAACACGCAAGCCTCCACCTGACAGACGGTGGTGGCTGCACATGCAGTGCAGTGGCCGGGAATCGAACTCAGGTCTCTCCCATGGAAGGCCTCTCCACTGACCCACCACTGCCTCACCTCAGCCTCCTTACTAAACTTTTACTAGTTCTGATTATTTTATTATTTTTTTTAATTTCTAGGAAAGCAGTTTTATAATCTGCAGATAATGGTACTGTGTTTATTTCCAGTAGTTTATACCTTTTATTACTTCCTCCACCTTACTGAAATGGCTGGACCTTCCAGAACCACGGTGTATTTATATGGTTATAGTGGCATCTTTGACGTCTTCCTGACTTGAATGTGAAGTAGTGTTTAGATGTTAAGTACAACTCTGGTTGTTGATTGGATATTCTTTACCATGGAAGGTATATTCTTTCATTTATAGTTCATTTATTAATAATTTTAGCAGGATTACATATTAAATTTTATCAAATGCTTTTTTGATACCTATCGAAGATCATGGTTTTTTTTCCTCCTTTGATCTACTGATTTGCTGTAAAATATTAATATTGAACCAACAGAGTCTTCTTTTTGCCTCAGCCTGGCAAAGGGTATATCTTTGTTGCTTCTTGCCTTGGATAACTTCTAGTTACCAAGTATTATACAACAAGACCACTGTTTAAATTGAGAAATGGAAGAATTTTCATTCCTCTCATAACAATGTGAATATAGCTTAAGTCCTGTGGGTAATATCTAAGTTATTTCTATTTCTTTATGGACTGAAATAAGTAGATTAATTTCTGCCTGCTTATAACATACACTTCTTTTTGTTTGGGCAAATCTCATAACAAATGGCCCAGTCTGCTATCAGCCAGTACCATTTTCATCAGATTTGCTGAAACAAAAGGAAGCACATGTTCTAACAGGGAGCTCATGGGTGGTGCAGTTAACTAGCTTGGCTGCTAACCAGAAGGTTCATGGTGTGAACCCCCCCAGAGGCACCTCGAAAGAAAGGCCTGGTGATCTACTTTCAAAAAATCAGCCATTGAAAACCCTGTGGGTCACAGTTCTGGTATGACTGTGAGCGGGAGTCAACTCAATAGTAACTCGTGGTTTAAACAGTAGACGTATAGTTCCCTATCCAGAGGGGACTTTGGTTCAAAGGAGTAAACCTAAATCTCTTTACTTCTCACCCCCAGTAACTCACTGAGGAATTTTACCATGATTTTGTCTGGCCTATGCTTTGAGTATTGCCTCTTGGTTTCAAAGCAAACAAAACAATCAAAGAAAATGCCGAAATTTCTTCTCTGGTTAAGTCCTTTTTTTCTGAGTTCCCTCACATCTACAGTAGAGGAATGGAATTCACGGTCAGCGATGGGAAAACAGCTTTGTTGGGGTCCTAGTGATAAAAGAAGATTTCTCACAGATCTAGGGGTGGAAACTAAAACCAACAAGAGAAAACCAACTGGTTTGTGAGGCCCCTGTCGTTTCCGTGGCTCTCCTTCTCCGAGGCTGCTGCCTGGGCACCTCATCTCACAGAGTGTGATGCTGTCTTTACAACATCTGCTTTGTAGCCTGTAGCCTGCGGCTTAAGAATCTTCCCTTGGAGATTCTGTTCACACCTGTGAATCAGCACTTGGTGGGCCTAATCACCCCAGGAAAGCAACGAAGTCTTGATTTTCTTAATTGTGAGCCTGTGAAGATAAATGTAGAGAAAAGCACTGACCCTTAACTTCGGTTTCCTAGACGAGTCTGTGTAATAGGGAATTTCCTATTAGTTGTAATAACTTGAAATTGTCTTGTAAGTAGGGTGGGAACAATTTAACATGTAAGCCTCTACTGAATATATAGTAATTCTGTGCTAATCTCCTTTGATGATAGAAACTGGAGACTATATATTTGGGGCAGCTTATGGCTGCTAGTATATACTTGAAAACTTCATTTCCCAGCAGGGAAGTCTTTCTGGCTTTTAGTTATGGCATAAAAATAAATCTCATCAAGATTTTCAATCTAGTAGTCCTTTTTGTTAAGCCGGTGGCAGGTTTTCCATTGTGGTAATCCATGGCATTGAGGATGTGGGATGGAGATGTAACTCATTTTCAGATTCTTCCTGATGTACCTTGGCTTTATCTTCGGTCCACATGCATTGAAGTGGTATTTCTGGCTTTAGATGATAAGCTCAAATTCTTTCGGAAGATTTTACAGAAGCAAACATAGAGAAGAACTTCAGCCGCGCTATCAGACATATACCTTACCCTGACATTTCTTGGAACTGCATTTCCAAGAAACCCTGACTACCCAAACTGGTTCTTATGTACGCTCATATATGATCTAGACTTATGCAATTGGTCTCAGATTTTTGCCGTGCTTATCCACTTAATAA